CCCTCTGATTTCCTTACTGAAATCAAGATCAAGCCCACGGTGGGGCTCCTGCAGTCGGGAGGTCACGTGGGTGACCTTCAGGCCCTCGGAACAGCCGCCCTGAGGAACTGAGATGACCAAGTGACCTACAGAACTCTGAAAGCTGGAGAGGTGGCCCCCACACCTCTGCCGCGCCTCACTCTTACCAACATCAGCAACAGCAACACCTGTACTGATTGCTCATGCTGTCAGTAACAGGACTAGCAGAGAAAGGTTCTTCACTCACAGCCATTTCAAGGACTATTTTTAAAAAGCAAACATAACACAACTCTTTTTTTTTCCAATCACCTTGCTTCTGAGTCACTGAGAGCCTCCAAGTCTTAACTCTCAACACCTTTCCCCCAGCATAGATGTCTGAGCACAGCCAGGTATTAGGTTTTTATCACCGATACATAGCATCTGTTCTAATCAGTCCAGTCAGCCACGTGCATTTCATGAAAGAAGAGAATTCTTTCATTTCTATCCTTCTGCCTTGAAAAAAACCAGGTCCACCTCCTAAATAATTAATTTCAAGTCTGCATCCAGTGCCAATACTTGTTGCATCCATTTTAGAGTTTGATTAATTACCCTGGAACTTGGGCAAACTAAACTCCATGTGGAGAGAATGTTTCTTCCTTCAATTTAGTTCTGAAAGCTACAAGTTATTGATGGCTCTGACTCTATTTACATACAAATTGGTGCAAATATGCCCATATCTTAAAATGCATTTTGTATAAATATATAAAAGTGTCATTTTTGATTTAGCTTGAAGAGGTTGATCATTTATTACAAAAATAAACGAATAAATACAACAATATATTGTTGCTTCCAACAGGATAAATACTTTACAAATATATAATTTAAAAAACAAATTTAATTGTTAAAATTATTTAAAATATTACACTTATCGATAAAACTATCAATAGTATATACTGCATTTAATATTAGAACCAATTATTCTCTGAATGTTGAAAACCATTCATACAAAACAGATTATGAGCATGGTAATAAGCAAACACTGGAGGCTACAGGGAAGCAGAGGGAATCTCTAAGATCAATAATGAACAGTTCTATTTTGGAACAAAGAAGTAGTCCTTGGCTAAGTACTTAAAAAAAAAAAAAGGCAGAGCAACAACAGCAAAGTGACTATTTTAAATACACCTTGAATGATTTATCGCCCAGACTTGCAGGGGAAGATGGTTGGGTGAATGAGGTGACAGGGGCTTGGACGACTGATCAGGAAGCCACAGGACACTGCAAACTATAAATGGGCCCAGCTCGGGATTAGCCAGATTGATGGAACAGAACTTTGTCACTTTCCTTTGGGTTGGAAGGGGAGGAGGGGGTGGATTGAAATGGAGGAAACAAATGGGCACTTTACGAAGCACAAGACACTTGCGCTGCAAAGGAACACAATGACCAAATTCATTAAAAAGATCTGGTGATATATAACAATATTTTCATTATTTACATGTGTAACAATATAAGCCTTAGCACAAAACCTCTCAGTTATAGCTGCCCTCTTTTGTTTTTCAACCATGAATTTCATTTTGTAAATACATTCAAAGGGTTGATTTAAAAAAAAATATGGAGTGCAAGCACCAGCTCACTTTTAAAAATGCAAAATGATGAAATAAAATGGGCTTTCTTTCCCATCTTCTCCAGTGAAAAGTTACTCTGCTACCCCTAAATCTGGGCTTCTTCCAAAGTAATCAGCAAAGGTTGCTTTTTAGTAGAAAACAGTGTGAAATCTAATGTTAGTTCTTTTGTCGTCAGCCAAATCAAGTAAGCAAATACCTCCTAAAATTTTAAATAGACCCATTCTCCGTCTAATCAACCACTGCCATTCCTGTAGGGAAAATAGGATTTCATCTCACGTGCCAGTAGTATCCACCATATAAAAACCACCACCACACCCAATCCTCAGCTTTCTCATAAGGCCTTCTTTGCTTGCCCCTGTAGACCTTCAAAAAAATGATGAAGCTTGTCCTCACCCCCGGCCCCCACTCCAGGTTGTAAATCTGCTGGGCAGAGAGATTACAATAGCAAGAGAAATAGGAAACAAGAAGGCAAAGAAAAGTAAATTGTGGTTTCTTGTTTTCATTTTTTCCTTCTCTCTGTTTAATAAATATGGCCTTTTTCAGATTTCACAAATCAAAATGATTGTGATTTTTAGTACGATTTGGTGTTTAAAATAATGCAACCCAATACATGGCCATCTGGCTGGGCTTGATTTATGAAAGTGACACAGGGTCTGTCTAGAAGAAATGACTGTTCCTTGTTGATCTCACAGTTTTCCGGATTTTTTAACCCCTGCATCGATGTCAGAGGAAGAGAGAGGAAGATGAGAGAAGGTAGAAAGTGTGACAGCTAAATGAGATTAAATTAATCCATAAAATCATTGCTTTATCACTCCCAGATACTTATTTTAAGTACAATACGCAAGGACTCTACTGAGCAGAGCTTTTTGCATCTGTAGTACTCACAACCTGAGGCATTATACTTTCATTTTCCCACATTGTAAATATTGATACATTAACTTGATAAATGTGACCTCTCTGCAGGGTGTACCTAGAGTTATCAAAAAAATAAAAACAATAATAAAAAAAAAAACAAAACAACTCAAAGCCCCAGCACCAGTAAAGAAGATATGGAATCATACTGGGGAAAGACCGGAACATAGAAATGTAGAATAGAATCTTAAGTCTGAGCTGGTCATCACACTGAGGGTAATGTAGTGTGTGGCCCAGCATCAGGATTTCAGAACTGCATTCTTTCAGCACAAGAAAAACAAACAAAACAAAACAAAACACCAGAACATCTTAATAATTTAAACTGAATTGCATATAGTTATTAATGGGCAGTAATTAATACAAAAATATTTTATAGACTTGACAGCTATTCTTTACAAGTATTAGTCTTCAGAAAAAGAGGAAAGAAACTTAGCAGTATGGCGAGGTTGACGGGAAGGGAAAGAGAGGCTAAACTTAGGGGGGAAGCTCTGTATTAACCATTAATAACCAGGTGGCACCTTTTTACTGGTGATGTAGTCCAATCTTCTGGTAAAGATGATAAAGGACACAGGTATCTCCAAGAAAAGGACTAGTCTTTAGGCAATCTCACCTATAAACACACTAAAAACACCCACTGAAACCAAGGGAGAGAATAATGTTGTGAGCTTTATGGATTAACAAGGAGTGACAACTCTGTTAAAGTACTAGCACTTTCTGTCATGACTGTCCTTTACTCTATATTTCCAAATATACCTTAGGTGGAGCAGACTCTCCTTCCTCAGTGCTATCATTTAAGGATTGGCATTAGTAAAAAAATATTTTCTAAAGAACTCTTGTCTTCCCACATAGCGTTTATGCATCAGACACAGACTATTTCATTCTAACAAATTTATTTTCTCGATCAGCTCTTACGGAATCACTACTCAAATTAAATTACAATCAAATGATCACATCAAAAGATACCCTTACTACCTAGCAACTGTCCATATTTTCATTTCATTTTGATTTGTGCTCGTCTGAAAAAAACACGTAATACAAGATCTGGGGAAAAATAAATTACCGTTTTGCAGCAGTTCATAAGTATTCTGAATAAAATATTAAAAGAAGTCATTTAATGAAAATATAAAGCAAATATTTTTAGATCAACAACGGATCTAACAATTCTATATTGCCGTCTTTTGAAAAGTCTGTTTATTAAAACCTACCAAAAACACTGCTTGGAAATGGCAGTATTATATAATCACATCCACAGCACCCATTCAATCAAAGTTGGCAACGGATTGAGGAGAGAAGTCCAGAGAAGTGCATCGGCTGGTGCTCAGTCCTTCTAAATCTCTTTATCTGAGTCAGTCCAGAAATAAAAAATAAAAAATATTAATAAAAAAAATATTAGCGGTGGAATCTTTAGGCCTCATCCACCCGAGTGACCGCCGTTAAAGCCGGGGTTGGTGGCAGGGCCTCGCTCCGCGCCCAGTCCGCCCGCCCTGCCCGACTTGGCCTGCCGGGCCCTCTCCCACTCCTCGGAGGGACATCCCTTCCTCCCTCGCCCATCCCTCTGCTCTTTCGTGATGCTTTATTTCCAAGGTTACTTCGAGGATACTTTGACTTTTGGCTTTGCTATTCAGTCTGTTAATTTCAGAAGCTGTGAATATTTCCTTTTTATTTATTTTTTATTTCCTGAAGACCGTTCTTTGTGTTCTCCTTCCCATTTCATAGTCAATTTGTCCCCAAATGACTTTAACACGGCCAAGAAAAACAGGGCCCCGGAGCACAGAGTCCACCCCTGATTTAAACCCGGTGCCTCTGCTTTCTTTCAGGTCGCTCCCAGGAAAGAAAGTTTCGATAGATCACTTTAGGCAGCCCTTTGGAGGGGGTAGTGAAAAGGAGAGAGGGGTGCTTTTTTTTTTTCTTTTTTCCTTTTTCCTTTTCTTTTTTAAGAGGAGAGGACGAGGCAGGTGCTGGGTGCTGTCCACCGTTGCCGTGTAGGACTTCCTAGGGTGGGAAAGCCCTCGCGAGTGCAGTTTCGGTGCGCTAGGCATCTTCACCCTTCTTGAGAAAGAAAAAGAGAAACAAAAAGGAAACACCACCACAGTATAAACGAGATCTCATGATCGCCTCCTTTTTCTCTTGCGGTTTTGTGTGTTATGTATACGTATATAAAACAGTCTGGGTATTTGTTACGCTTTTGCTTTGTGTCGCCCCTCCTTCCTCGGACTCCAGCAACGTCTCCTTGGCCCGTGTCTCTCTCCCGTTTCCCTCCAAGGGCGGGCGTGCCTGTCTCTGGGCGGAGGGGAGGGCGGCGGCGCGGCCCGGGCCCGGAGCGGCCCCGGTGTGGGGTCTGCGCGGCTGCGGCTGCGGCTGCGGCTGCGGCGGCGGCGGCTGCGGCTGCGGCGGCGGCGGCGGGGGCGGCGGCGGGGGTGGGTGGCGGTGCAGGCGGCGGCGGCGGCGGCGGCGGGGGCGGCGGCGGGG